TACATGCTCTTCCTCCTCACAGAAGTTTGAATTTCTCCCTGTTTTCTTCTTCATCCAAAGTGTTCTCTGTCTGTGGCCGTATTAGGTCCACAGCCAATTTTTTTTAAAATTATATGGATACATACTTAAAGTATTAAACATAGACTAATAACAAAATAAATTATAGATTCCGCATATAAACTGTGAGACGAATTTATTAAGCTTAATTAATCCATCATTACCAAATGTTTACTGTAGCACCACATTGTTTGAAAGTTCACATTGAAGTTTGGAAGTTTGATTGAAATTAGTACGATATGATATGATAGAAAAGTTGTGTGTATGAAAGGTTTGATGTGATAGAAAGTTGGAAGTTTGGAAAAAAACTTTGGAACTAAACATGGCCTAAATCATGACATAATTGGGCTCAAAAGATTCGTCTCGCAATTTACATGCAAACTGTGCAATTGGTTTTTTTTCGTCCACATTTAATGCTCTATGCATGTGTCCAAACATTTGATGTGACGAAATTTTTGGAAGTTTGAAGGGGAACTAAACGCAGCCTGTGGTCATCTATGAAAAAAAATAGATAAGGCTACTCTGAGGATAAAATGATCTGGATTTGGCTGCGGGAGCTATCGGAGACGACGAAGAGAGATGATGCTAGGGTACTTGCTTGACGGGGTTCACAAATTTGTCGAAATGGGTTCAAATCTTGTGAAATTCGACCCTCTCGACATGGGCCAGAATTAGATATGCCTTCAGAATTTCAAACGGTTTCAAAAGGTTCAAATTTGGATTGGGAATTTACTAAAAGGTCACTTTTTTCGCTATCACGGTTGGGGTTAAAAAAAAAGCTAAACAACCAAAGAGTAATGAAGAAAAAATTGGAAAAGAATTAAATATGGGCCTCACGGTTGAAACCACTCCTTTTACCACTTCACTGTCAAGTGCATATCGGAAAGTTAAATTACACTGTTATATTGGTTCTAACTAAATCTTCTAAGAAAGATATCACGTGATTATATTTTCTATAAAAAAAAGGAATTATATGTTGCAGTCCATTCATCTCTTTTGTTGCTTATTTGAGTGTTTCACTCTTTTTCATTGGGATGTTGCACATGATGTACAAGACATTTTCTTGGACATAGAAGGGTCGTGATGTTGCAATCAATTTTTTTTCAATATTGCATCTGATTAAAATAATTTTCACCAAGTGATGGAACATTTTTTTATTGAGCAATGAAATATCTAAAACCTTTTTTGCTCAAACAAATTTACTAAGCGGTAAATATCTGAAAACATTTTTCATATATAAGGTGAAACACCATTTGGGTTTTGACTGGGATCGGACGTTTGATCCTTAGTCGCTCTCTTATTCAGGGCCAAATGTGTGCATACATCTTCGAACAATCCTAGCCCTCAAAAGTGATAGTCGATTGACAATTGAAATACTCCCTCCGTCCCAAAATAAGTGCAGTTGTGGATTTCCGTGTCCAGCGTTTGACCATCCGTCTTATTTGATTTTTTTTATATAATTAGTATCTTTGTTGTAATTAGATGATAAAACATGAATAATATTTTATGCATGACTTATTTTTATTATTTTTTAATAAAATTTCAAATAAAACGGATGGTCAAGCGTTGAACACATAAACTCACAACCACACTTAAAATGGGACAAATGGAATTTTTTAAGAAAACTTTCAGACATCTTGTTAAATCTGGGTGGGGCGCATTTTCCTTAAATGAATACTTCTATCCATTCTCCAGCAAATGCAGCACCCACCACAGTAGACGTCACTTGGCCTCAAAGTGATGTCCAGTTCAGGCAGCTACTAGCAAGGTTAATTTCAGACAATTCATCACGTTTGATAAACTGTACAAGGTAGTAGTAGTAGTATATATCATCATCATGATCCATGTTATCCATGTCTTGATTCAATGCTTGTTCTTGACAGTCACCAGTCACCACTTACCACTACACACACTAACCGCCCATGAGCAATGCCTGATGATTCCATAAAAAAGTCAAGAGCAACCAAATAAGCATGCAGCCAAGCCATACATACATCCACTATTGCCCATGCAACTTTTTTGCTAGAGATTTGCATGACATCACAATGCATCTTCCCCATATGGACATCTATTATTATATATTTCCATCTATTACTAATTCCCCCGTTTCAAGATGTATGACGTCGTTGATTTTTCACATAATATTTATCAATTTGTTTTATTCAAAAATTTAGTATAAATATGTAAAGAGTGTAAAAGTATAAGTTAAGGTTATATTTTATTTGATGATAAAACAAGTCATAATGAAATAAAAAATATTTATATAAGTTTTTTTTTAATAAGATGAATAATCAAATGTTATGTGAAAAGTCAACGACGCTATATATTTTTAAATGGATGGAGTAATTTAGTTGCATATCTATAGGTATAGCAAGATGCAGGCATGTTTTCCCTGAGGTTGGAGACAGATTAATTAAATAAACTAACAAAGTGACATACATACATGTAAAGTTGTCATGCTAGTGCTGAGCTTATCTTATCCCATCCAAGCTTGCATTTTTATTAATTAGTGTTAAACCCTACTTGCATATATGCGTGCGTGCTTCCCTCTCAAATGTCACTAGATGACTCTCTCTCAACGCAATCCTGGTTCTGGCGACAAGTCCTCTTCACAGCCTTCTCTGCTTAGATATGAAACGAGCTTTTTAACTCTATATAGTACACATATATAAATCAACAACTTATCTATAGCAAGTAGGTCGGTCCAAATTTATGGATTTAAGCTCCTCCTCTGCATGCTCTGAAGAATATAATCTCTTTTTTTTCCATTTTGCACTAAGAGTATAAACACATTTTTATAAGCTCCTCATTTTTTTTTTGCCAAAGTCATATCTCACAAATGCAAAATCGAGTTTTTTTTTCCTAATGTACTCTAGGATGAATGTGAGTCCTCTATTACTCTTGATCTAACAGAATACTACAAGATTTTCTGGATTAAAATTGAAATTGAAAATGTGTAGCGTTAAGGAAAATTCACATGTTCAATAGATGACAGTGGAAATTACTCTAATTGAAGTCTCAAATAAAGCATTTTTAAATAGCTCTGTAGATGAAAGGTATTTGTTGTTTTAAACGGAACCGTAGGAGAAGAAAATTATATTTCAATTAAGCGGAAATAAAAACCCAAATGGGGTTACATGAAAAAGAAAAGCATCTCCTCAAATAGAAGAGACTCGCAAAACACCTCAAGAAAAAGAATCGTGGCCTTTACAGCATACGGAACAACTAAACAACCCTTAACCCTAGCTAAACTAACAACTAAATAACTACGGAACCCAATGTAAGGATCAACATCAAACTTGTCGTAAAGAGTACAACACAACAGCTCCAACTTTGCAAACATGTGTCATTGTTGCTGAGCTTGCCACCTAACGACACAACAGCTTTGACTCTACAGTGATCGTGTCATCGTTGCCAGAGGCATTGTCAAAACGAATAAACACCACCGATTTCCCACCATGGACATAAGCCTAAGCCAACAAGTGCCACTTCCTATACATGGTTAGCACCAGCACCCTTAGAAAGAGAGAATAATATGTTATCATTGCCAAGCTTCAACACACCCTCAACAACAAAGCAACTCCGACTCCACCTAGCAGAAACAAACTAAGAAAGCTGGTTCTACACCATAAACAAGAATGGAACAAAGATGGCAAAGGCTTCACCAAACATCCCAGGCTTGTAGAGCTTTAGAGTCGATGCAGGGGTCCACGAACGACCTTCGCTATAAGGGTAAGCTTCTCCAAAGCAGTGTCCCCACGGAGGACATGATGTGAAACACGACCACCACTCGTCCAGAAGCCGAAACAAGGTTTTCACCTGAAGATGGTAGGGATGGGGAAATGTTATAACAACGCCTCCAAGAACGGTAATAACGCCTCAGGTGTCACCATCGTCAAGCTGGCCCAATGGCCTGACAAGGCTTTCGCCAACAGTTCCCCATTCAACACCATGAAACCAACCCGTACAACGACGCTTGCTAGAACACCGCACCATCCCTTCAGCAACCAAGCCCAGGCCATCACCCCATGCTCAGGCGTGCTCACACAAGACTGCTATCCCACAGTGGGTTTCCCAACCAAAAAGCCACAAATATTAATTTCCTCTCCTACCCCTGCCGGCAACGCGTCTCTCTGCTCCCTCTCTCTTGTCGCCGCTCTCTCTGCTCTCTCCCTCTCTCTCAGCAAAGCGGACGGCGAGCCACGCGGGTCGCGGCGGCGGACGGCCCTGCCCCACCCCGCTGCCGGCATCGAAGCGGCGGCATCGACGGGGCACGGGGCGAGATCTGGGTGCGCGTCGCCACCCCTCTCCCTTTGCCCGTCGCCAACCTCCCCGCCGCCGCCCGTCGCACCGTTGCCGTCGCCGTGGTGTCCAGATCTGGTCGGCCGCGCCGTCGCCGTCGTGGGTGGATCTGGGCGCGGATCCGGGGCTAGATCCGCGCCGCATCGAGACGGACGTGGCGCCGGCGGAGATCAGGGAGGACGACGACTCTTCCACCTCGCCGGTGTCGGATCCGCTCTTTCCCCCTCTCTTCCCCGCCGCCGCTCGTCGCCGTCCACCTCGTCGGCGCGGCCTCCAGCTCCTCCACCACCTCGAGCTCTAGCCAAGGGTGTTACGGGAAATACGGGTGTGGGGAACAGTGTCCACAAGCTACGGTGTGCTCAACGCGGCTCCTCGCTTCGTTTCTCTGTCAAAAGTCATCGAGGGGCACGTCCCCCTGGAGAAAACACGCGCCTCTCCAGGGGCACACGGCACGGACGGGCAAAGTAACGGCGGTAAGCAGGTACACGGGTTGAGGGTACTCATTAAACATGGCTTCAGAAAGACAACGGCTCCCTAGTGCAGTGCTGCTCCCGCCAGTAATGTTGTTGCTCCTCTGTCTCTCCAGAGTCCAGACCCTACTCCTACTTCAAGGACCTGAACTTCCTTTTCACTGTATCGTAGCGCCGTGCCAACATAGCTATACTCGATAGCAAGACAGAAAATTCGTCTGTACACTTGAAAAATTGTTCATGAGAGAGAGAGAGACGAGAGCTTGCTGTGCAAGAATCTTGAACAAATCGCTGAATTCAGGAGTACTAGGAGTAGTACAGTACTAGAGTGGTAGAGAAGAGAGAGAGAGAGAGAGAGCTGGGTTGGAGTGGAGACCAGGAATGGAGGAAGTAGAAAGGTGTCAGTGCTGCTGCTTTGCCTGCAAAATCCCCTTCCTTCCAAAGCTCCCCCCCTGCCCTTTTCGGTCTCTGCCTGCCCTGCTTCTTGCCCACCACCACCTGTGTCCTCTTCCTCTCCTCTCCTTGCATTGCAGCCTTCTCCTTGCTTCACTGCCTCCCTCACCTCCTATATATCCTTCCCCCTTGCCTCCTCCACCCACCCACACTTCACACTTCTTGTTTGATCAATCACAGAGACAGAGAGAGAGAGATGGCTTGGAATGGCAGGTTTGGAGAGGATGGAGAGGAAGAGAGGAGCCTTGAGCTCAGCCTTGCCCTCCCTGGATACTTCTCCAGCTCAGGTCACCACCTCCCTTGCTCTCTTCTTGATTCATCTTGCCCTCAAAGTTTCCTGCTTTGTTTGATCATATCTGTGTGTTTTGTCCTATGCTTTACATTTCTGGTGGATTTTCATTTCTCAGGTTTGCAGGGGAACACGAGCACTGCTGCTGATGGAGCCAAGGGAAACGATGGGTTCAAGGCAAGGTGATGAAAATTTTCTGGTTTTTTTTTTGGGAGCAGTCTGTTTGCTCGCAACAACATTTTTCTGACGAATCTGCAGCAAAAAGATGCTAAAATTTGCCCCTAAATTCTCTGCGATTCGCAGCAGGCCGGCGGCTCCGGTGGTCGGGTGGCCGCCGGTGCGGTCGTTCCGGCGGAACCTCGCCTCGTCGTCGTCGTCGTCGAAGCCGCCGCGTGGAGGCCGAGACGCCGCCGCCGCCGCCACGGGAGGCAAGGTGGCCCGGTTCGTCAAGGTGAACATGGACGGCGTCCCGATCGGCCGGAAGGTCGACCTGGCGGCGCACGGCGGCTACGGCGAGCTCTCCGCCGCCGTCGACCGTCTCTTCCGCGGCCTCCTCGCCGGTAAACCCCACCACCTCGACATTATATATCATCGGAGTTTTCTATCTCGAGCTTTCTCTTGATGGTGTTTGCTCGCTTGCTTGCTCGCGTTGGCAGCTCAAAGGGACCCAACCATGGCCACCGCCGCCGCCGCCGCCGCTGCCGGCGAGAGCTGCACAGGAGAGGAGGAGGCGATCGCCGGGCTCCTCGACGGCGGCAGCGGCGAGTACACGCTCGTCTACGAGGACGACGAGGGCGACCAGATGCTCGTCGGCGACGTGCCATGGAAGTGAGTCCGACACACACACACACCATGAATGAATCTCTCGTCTTCTCCAAAGCTAATGGCGACGAATTCTTGATTGATTGCAGCATGTTCATCGCCGCGGCGAGGAGGCTGCGCGTGCTCAGGAGCTCCGACCTGAACGCCTCCACGGTCAGCGAAATTTCTGGTTTTCTGCTCCTTTTTCTTGAGAAATTTGATCGATTCTGACCCGTGATTTTTGTTCTTGATCTTGTTTTTGCAGATACGAGCAGGGAGCAGGAAGAGGGCAGCTGCCGAGTGATCTTGATCTTGTTTTTTTCATCGCCGGGAGCAGAGCAGGAAGCATATCTGCATAGTGATTATGATAGCTCTCTGTTTTGTTTTTAATCCTTTTCTCTTCGCGTTCTTGGAAGATTTTTGTGTACAAAAATGCGCAAGAAGCGTCTTTTTTTGGGGATCATGATGTTGTCGACTACGACTAGGACAAGATGTAATCGAGAATGGAAATTGTTAGTACTATTAATTAGGATCAAGTTCATCTGTTCTTGCAAGCTACTAATCCTGGACATGCTGAGTGATGTGTCTTTGTCAGTGTCGCCGGTTGATGTTTTATCTTGCGATTCTCGTGAAGCATCTGCACATCTTTCGCAATCGTCGATTCAGGTTTCGGAGAGCAAGAAACGCACGTTGATTTTGGGAGTGTTTGTAGTTATTCGTCCGAGCGGTCAGGCCTATGTGTGTTCATCTGAGTTTGGCTCGGTTCAGACTTCAGAGTAGATTCAGTATTCAGTTACACTTGGTTTAGAACGGAAATGGTTTCAAATCTTGGTTTTTTCCGCTAAACGGTAATATCTTTTACAAAAATTTTATATTAAAAAATTGCTTAAAAATCATATTAATCTATTTTTAGTTTTTTTAGCTAATACTTAATTAATCATGTACTAACCTACTATATTGTTTTTCGTGTGTAGGAATTAATTCCCAACACAGCCTAGGATTTCTTCTGAGCTTTTAGAAGATGGTGAAAAGAACAAAATGAATATTTTTCAGAAAAATGTTTTAACTGCTATCAGCTGAAAGCCTGAAACTCTCATGTTATCTCCCTCTGAAGTTATCTGTGGTATTGTTCGGTTGTTCGAGAAGATATCTTCAAAATTATACTCCTACTCACTATATTTTGTTGTCTAAATAGTCCTAGAGCAATTATAATATTCTGGTTTTATTTTTAACGATGATTGCTTATCTAGAGAAGAATAAATAGCCTTTTACGGTCCTTGTTAGTACTAGTATTAGGCTATTGGGACCACCTATACATTTGTCGACAAATTTTCTCCTAAAAATTTGATAAATGTAATTATAATACAATCGTAGTGTAATTACAATGTAACTTAAATGTAATTACAGTGTAACTTACATGTAACTACAGTGTAACTTGTATATAAGTTTCACGTAATTTTGAATCGTTAAATCTATTACAAGATTTGTTTTGGTGAGGAAGAAAAAAAAATCACAGCACACACATATGTGTAAGGATTTGTTCCCACAACCTCCATTTTACCCAAATAACATATTACAGAGATATTTTTGAGAGTTACATACAAGTTACACTATAGTTACATATAGTTACAGTGTAATTACATGAAAGTTACAGTGTAATTACATTACGATTGTACTGTAATTACATCTGTCAAATTTTTGGGAGAAAATTTGTCGACAAATATATAGCAAAATCGTTTTCGGTTTGCTGTAAAATTTACAAAAATAAAACAGTTTTTCTTAATGGGCCGAAAATACGTGGGCCAAAATAGGAAACGAAGCGGCCGAAAAAAAACTTGGGCTGTCGTACACCAGCAATAGCACGATGTCGAGGCACACGGTGGAGGGACAGCCGCCGATCGATAGGTTATTTAATTTAGAAGAAATGGGTTGTATCCATTGGTTAAAATTCTGCAAAATTTAAAGCTTTAAATCTGTAAGAAAAATAAATAAATAGATAGTCCCTTTAAAGCTTATTACGTACCCATCAAAATGTACGCTACTTGATCGTGTGTAGTGTAGGCGTAGGAAAAAGAAAAAAACCCATCAAAATAAAAAAAAAACTCCCTACTACAAGTTACTTTGGCTTCTTTTTGTCAAATATTTTAAGTTTGACTAAGTTTATAGCAAAATATAGTAATATTTTTAACACAAAATAAACATATTATTAAAATATATTTGATGTTAGATTTAATAACACTATGTTGATGTGGTGCATGTTGCTAGATTTTTCTATAAATCTGATCAAACTTGAAATGATTTGACTAGAAAAAAAGTCAAAATTACTTAGGGCCAGTTTAGATTCCACCCAAAAATTTTACACCTTGTCACATCGAACATTTAAACACCTGCATTAACTATCAAATATAGGCTAAAAAATAACTAATTGCACATATTGCAACTACTTTGCGAGACGAATCTTTTAAGCCTAATTGTTCCATGATTTGATAATGTGGTGCTACAGTTAAAAAAAATATGTTAATGACAGATTAATTAGGCTTAATAAATTCGTCTTGCGGTTTACCGACGGATACTGTAATTAGTATTTTTATTAGTGCCCGAACACCCTATGCGACACCCTATATAATACCCGATGTGATACGCCGAAACTTTACACCCTGAATCTAAACACCTTATGAGATGTGACTGAGAGAGTAATTATAAATAATTAAAAAAATGCCCAGCACGAATATTGCAGCAGCCGTCCCTGTCCTTTTTTCCTTTCTTCTCCCCCAATCCAACTCCTACTTCGTTGCGTTCGTTCTAAACCCGAGCCCGATTTCAGTGTGTTTTGAGACTTGGGCCCTTATACAAAGGCCCGTAGTACACTAGGCCTCCGACTCTCGCCTTCCCCTTCCTTGTTGCCCCCTTACCCAAGTTGATCCGTCGCCGAGTTCGCCTGAGCCCCAATCTCCGATCCCCCACCATCGCCGGCGCCGCCGCCGCTCCACCCTGCCGCTTTTCCTCCCGCCGCCGCATCCTCGCCGGTGAGAGCATCCTCCCGCTCGTTACATCTTCCTCACACCTTTTATTTTTTTTATTTTTCTCTCTCGACGAATTTGCGAACCTAGACTGGTAGTTCAACCCTAGCTTCTCCTCCCTAGATCTGGAAGCTACTTTTACCTTTGCCCTTTTTTGTTGTTGATCTTGGTAGTAATGGTGGTGACAGGTAGTTTGTCCCCCGGAGAAAATCTCCCCACTGATTCTTCGTTGGGATTTTAGGGTTTTGTGGCGGCGATTTCCTGTGGTTCTCGATTTGTTTCTGCTCGCTGTTTCGCGAGATTAGGGAGATTGGGAGGTATAGTGTGTGTCGTGTGTGTGTGTGTGGGGAGGGGTTGTGGCGGCGGTGGATTGGTTGCGAGGGGGAAGTGATTCATGTGCGCGAGATGTTGATTTGATTTTTTTTTTGTTTCGTCGGTGACAGCGCGGGATGGCCGGAGCGACGGATCTCCCCCCGAAGGGCGGGTTCAGCTACGACAATTGCGCGAGGAACGCCATGCTTGTGGAGAAGGGCTTGAAGATGCCTGGGTTCCTCAAGACCGGGACTACCATCGTCGGTTTGGTCTTTCAGGTACTCTTTTGTTCTGCTAACTGGTACTCTTAGTTTTTTTTTCTTTTTTCTTTTGCGTGTGCTGGTTAATTTGTGTGCAATCAAGGGAATCATAAAACTTTATGGACATAAGGATAATGGATATAACTGAATTGTGCTGTAACATTAGTTTTCTCAGCTTTTTTTCCCCTCAACTATAGTTTTTAGTATGTGCGCACCGCACGAATTTATGCTTCTGTTTATGTAAAATTTTTTGAACCTGAAAGAATAATGGATTACCAGAGGAGATTTCTAGTGGCAACATTGGCTATTGCAGTTGCTTTCAGCAGGGAAGTAGATGGTGCTTGTTTTAACCTCCTATTGTATTTTTGCTCCTAGTCTCCTAGTTGTTAATACTTTGATGGATGATTTTGTTTTCCATGCTTCGTTCCATCTAATTGGCATCCTTTTCTGCTCATCATGAATAATTTGCTGAGTTAACTTTGGTGTAACTATGCTTTCTACTTAGGATGGTGTTGTTCTTGGGGCAGACACGAGGGCCACCGAGGGTCCTATAGTTGCTGATAAGAACTGCGAGAAAATTCATTATATGGCGCCAAACATATATTGCTGTGGAGCAGGAACTGCCGCTGACACTGAGGCTGTAACAGGTATTAATTATGGTATCCTGGTAGCATGAAGAGAAAAAAATAGTTGTGGACTGTATACTCCAACCCAGTTGTTTCATTAGTTTGCTTCTCTGTCTTATAAAAAAAATTGAAAAATACAACTTGTTTTGTTTCAACTCTAGATATGGTCAGTTCCCAGCTTCAACTTCACCGTTATGCAACTGGTCGTGAGTCCAGAGTTGTAACCTCTCTTACATTACTGAAGTCGCACCTTTTTAGGTGATTGCTCTCTGCCTCCCTCTCTCTCAAACATTGCAAATGTTTATGCGTCATCAGCTAGACTATCATACATTGCAAACGTTTTACCTTCTTTCTTCCTTATGTTTTAGCTACCAAGGTCATGTCAGTGCTGCCCTTGTTCTTGGTGGAGTAGATGTTACTGGGCCACACCTGCACACTGTGAGTAACTGAGTATGGTTGTCTGTTAAAAATATCTGTTAAGAGAAATTTTGGGTAGTTTTGTTAATCTTTTGAATCATATAGGTTTATCCACATGGCTCCACGGACACTCTTCCTTTTGCCACAATGGGTTCTGGATCCCTTGCGGCAATGTCAGTGTTTGAATCGAAGTACAAAGAAGGCCTCACAGTAAGTGAACCAGTGTAATTTTGTTCTTTGTTCAGGCTAGCATTTGCTGATTGCTCTATACCTTTTTTTATTTACATATATTGATACTGCATATCTTTTCATTATGTTTTATATCATTCTAATTATTTCTTAAATTCTCTAGAGGGAGGAGGGAATACAACTTGTTGCTGAGGCAATTCGTGGTGGTATCTTCAATGACTTGGGCAGTGGCAGCAATGTGGATGTTTGCGTAATCACCAAGGTACATAAATTATTATTATTATTATTGCATGGCATTAACAGGCAAACTATGGTTGTGGCAATTTATTTGTCCGTGTATGCTATCTTTCTCACACATGGTTGCAGTTCTTGATATAATTTCCTGTGAACTGAAATTCCCATTCAGTTATCTATGTCCATTTCGTTCTATTCAGTTGCTCTAGTCAATAATCTATGACACTCGTTTCCTTCGGTTTGGTTGCTCTATGCAATAATTTACGGAAAGTGCAATAGTCTTAGATAAATAGATACCTGCAGTGCCAAAAATAAATCCAAATATTTCTATGCTATAATCTTCCCGTCAGGGGTAGAATATTTGATTGAACCAACTTTAAAATGCTCTTGTTGCTTGAAAAGTGGACGCGTGTTTCTATCTTCTGTTTTGCTAACAAAGTCCTCCTGTTAACATTACCAGGGGAAGACAGAGTACTTGAGAAACCACCAGTTACCAAATCCAAGGACTTACGTTAGTTCGAAGGGGTACAACTTCACCAAGGGGCAGACTGGTCAGTGTCTTATTAATGTTACATCATATTGATAGAAATGCTTCAGCAATATGAACTCATTCGTGTTTCTTCTCTCGTCTCGCAGTGGTGTTGTCCACAAAGATAACACAACTGAAGCCGAAGGTAGAGGTGACAGAGGGTGATGCAATGGAGGAGTGATTTTGTGTGCTTACATTCAGACAAGCAGTCACGTTGAGAACATATGCTTTCATTTCAGTGGAAATGCTTGAACAAAAAAAGATGACTCTTGTTGTACTTCCTTGGGCTTAATGCACATCTTTAAGTTGATTTTCGACACATTTATGGAGGACCGATCTTATATATTTGCTAAACGGTGGTGCTTCTATTCATGATGTTGCTTCGTGTATTCAAAGGTTCATTTAGCGCGAACTGAATGACTACCAATCTTCCTCGAGTCCGATCGCTGAGATTATATTCCTAGCAGACTTAAGTTTGTAGCTGGAGTCTCAGTTGATAAGCCTTTTTTTTTAAAAAAAAAATTATCAGTGCTGACATAAATTACAATGTCTTAAAATTAAATCCAAAATTAAGTTTTAAAATTCTAATTTTGACCGTGGCTTATAAGGGCAACGATGGGTGAAAAGAATCATATAATTGATATTTCAAAATTTAAATCCGTTGATACAAACTTTTTTTTGTGATATGAAGGAATTATTGATGTAAGTACTGAACCAAAAATAACCGACAACAAAGTTCAGAACTACTTTATCCGGTACAACAAAAGTTCAGAACTATTTTCTCCTATAATAATTCAGAGTAGATACTGCAAATTGCAACACCACCAACACATTTGGCTTCGATTTCATTTCTGAAAATTTTGTTTGTAGAGTCCATCAGGCTCCTTCGAAACATACAGAACTTCACCACATTCTATAAACTATAACAACAGCACTGAGTCACTAATAAAAGTTGGAACTCTGTCTATGGGGAATCAATTCAGGTACTGAGAATGAGCAGCTGCAATCAGGGCAGCTCCAAGGCCAGACCCGTCGTTTGCAAGCTTGACAGCCACCGACTTCGACGCCTCTTCTCCGAGCAACTCCGTCAGCGTGGTCTCCAGGCACTGCCGGAATTCGGTGTAATGTTCATATAGACCGCCATCGATGGCGATGACCGACTTTCGCTTGTCGCCTGGGACGCCTCTGCCGATCTTCCTGAGGATCCCTACGATCCCAGCAGCAGCCAGCCGGGCTGATCTTCGGGTGACGATGTCACAGATTTCGACAACCATCTTCCTTGTTTCTAAGGATGTGTCTGTGATCTGTGGTAAAAGTGGACAATGCCGTGTAATGTGTTCATTGTGCATAAAATGGATAGAGGGAATACAGTTCAATGCTGGATTTACTGATGAAGATTACCTTCAGGTTATCTGCAAGTTTTTCAGCCACAATTCTGAGATCAGGTGTTCCATCATGATGCATCACGGAAATATCAGGAGTCCTGAATATAATGAGAGAGAGGATAAGCCAGCACATCTTTTTTCAAAGTTGCTTATCTCATTTTGGAAAATTGCAAAGCCATATGTTTTGCGCCTAATAATTATTATGGATCAATGGTGAAACTCCAAGTGATCCTATAGATATTCTCAGCAAATCATGCTTTATTTGCCTAGCTTATAGATTAAGATTACCACACAACTGAGTTTAGCGAGAAATATACCTCAGAATAAAGCGGGTTTTGAGCTTGGTCTGATCTAGATTGCCAAAAATTGAAGACTGCAAAGATATTTTAAGAAGCACTCTCCTTACGATTTCACCTAGATACATTCCTGAAATCAATTTCTCGAAGATCTGAAAAAAACAAGTCATAGTTTTTTTAGACAACAGGTAGCAGTTCTATATAATGTGGGTAAAACTTTTGACATGTGAGGAGTATGCAATCTTCTAGAGAAACTTGCCTGCTCTCCAGGGTTTAAGCTCTCTTTATCTAGTGCTTCATCATATTCTGTTATTGGAAGACAGGATGAGGAGAAGTTACCCCATTCTGTATTAATAACCTGAAATTCAGAAAGTACAGTGAGAAAGAAATCCAAATACAGATAGTAGATGATTCTATGCAGTACATGCCAGTTACTTCGGTTGAGAAATATCTAATCCTTACCATGTTTCCTGATTTTGGTAACTCGCCTTCCAACTTAGGGATAGCATTTGCCTTCTCAAGATATGCGGCGTTTGAGCCAGTGCCTAAGATCACACCGACGACAATATCTTCGTCGTAGTAGCTGCCTGCCGCCAATGTCCCAACAGTGTCATTGATCTGAAACAGTCAAAAAATAATGTCAAGCTTATCATAAGAACAAATTTCGCTTTGTTCAAAAATGATATGGAACTGATCATTTCAGAACTAACCAATGCGGAAACGCGCATGTCCAGACCTTGCTTCTCCATGGCCATCTGCAATTCGGCCACCACATCTTCACCTACCTGTCATATTCCAAAGAAGCACTAATTTCAGAAAAAGAAACCAATGACAAAATTCTGACAGCATTTCACATAACAATGTGAAAAACAGATTCGCTGTGACATTGATGTTGTGAATTTGTTTTTTTAGATAACAACTGATGCAGTGATGTGGGAAAACTGACAAATCAAGAGAATTCTTACAGCATCATCAATAGAAAACGCCTTGGTCCACTTGATAAGAGTCCCAGACGCAATCGATGTTTGCCGCACAGGGAAAGAGAAGGTGAACCCCAGTTCCCTTTGCCTGTCGTTGAACACGGCATTATGTCCTTCATCAGCGACGAACTTGGCTAACGCGGAAGCGATGAAGCCAAACAGCTCCTGAGATTGGCATCACAGCAACATTACAAACATGGTCATCCAATGAGACTAAATGTGATGTTTTACTATGATATATACTAGCCAATTCACCCAAAAACTTATGATACTATATGGAAACAAGTGTGGACATGCTCACTCACCGAGGAGTTGCCGGACATGAGATGGGGAGGGATCGAGACCTCCCTCGACTCGCGCTTCACGACCCGTTTCTCCTTTCCAGCAAGCTGCACACGCAGGACTCGGAAGTTTGTTCCCCCAAGATCCAGCGCGTAGAACAAGCCCTCTTCGGTCCTACATTATTTAGCACAACAAAAGGTTGTTAGTCATGCTGATCACGAAAAATACAGTAATACACACATTGCTGTTCTGCGATTTTGTTGCTTTGGCAGATAGCTTTGCTTAAGCCCTTTTCTGCTATTCACAAAAAAAAAAAAAACAGAAAAGGAGAAATGCAGTGATAAACACATTGTTGTTCTGCATTTATGTCATTCTGGCAGCAAACTTGACAAAAAGCCTTTTTCTGCAAACTACAGATTTTTTTTTAAAAAAAATGGAAACTTTTTTTTTACCTTTTTATGCAGAAATACAGTACCGCACACATTGCTGTTCCACTATTCTGTTGTTTTAGTAACGAGAATAGCAAAAGATATTTTCCGCTAATCATACAAAAACGAAAAGTCTCAGCTGGTGCATCTACAGAAATGCAGTAACACTACACGCATTGATGCTCTGCAGTTATGCTGTCTTGGCAGCGAGCTTAGCAAGAAAACAATTTCCTGCTAATCGCAACAAATAAAAGAAAACTTTTCTGCTGATCTTAACAAGAAAACTTTTCTGCCTTTTTTTTTTTGGCATCGGCAAGCTGTAACTAGACACGGTTACACGCTCGCACGCTGACACGCAATGTTGCACGGGGTCACACACGTGCTGCCGCAGCAGGTGACACGAGTGCGAGCAATTTGACACGCGCATGGACACGCAAGAGCGCGGTAACTTTTTCTTTTTTTTAAAAAAAAAGAGTAGGTAAATTATGTTCTAGCCTTCTAGGGATTAATTTAATTTAATTTAATCTAATCCCAATTTGCTTGGCCCCGACACACGACGCTGTGTCACTGGCAGCTCACTGCAGGTGGCAACAAGCCAACGATAGCTCATGTTACCAACCGACATGAAACCAAATTGGGAGAAAAAACACCTACTAAAAATGTGATTATCATGCAATTAACCACCACCTACTTAACCAAAGGAGATTAAACCAGCTTGCAAATTAATCCTGACAAACCAATTTTTATTTTCAATCAGAGTATCCGAATCATCTGTAGCTGCTGATATTAAAGTGTTCATGGCATCCAAGAACCACACAATTACTAAGAAATTTCCAAGTAGGAGAGAGCTAAAAGAAGAAGTGGATGATGAAACAGTAATTAAAAGGAAACAAGACCTGTGATTATTAGTGATTATAAATATAATTACTAGTAGTAATTAGTTACCCATTGGGGAGGTTGTCGACGTAGGAAACGATCATCTTGATCTTGCTGCCGCCCTCCTCCGCCAACCCCGCCGCCATCTCGCCGGCCATCGCCGCCGCCACCCCATCCAGCCGCGCCGCCGGCGTCGCGCACTCCTCCCGCAGCGCCGCCACCACCTGCTCCGCCGCCGCCACCGCCGCCGCCACCATGGTCTCCGACCAGCAACCAATCGATGGATCGATCGAGGAGTGAGGAAGACGAGAAGATCCAAGAAATGCGAGATTGGTGGTCAAGATCAAAGGCCGGAGCTAACCAAGATCGCGTACACAGGTCTCTGGGATTAGGAGGAGGAGGAGATGAGGAATTTATAGCGGTGGCGGAATTGAAAGGGATTTCGTGGGAGGAAGAGGAGTTCGAGGCGGAAGAGGAAGAAGGCGGGGTTGGGTTGGGTGGGTGACGCGGCGTCGCGTCAGCTTAAATTCGAAGGGTTTTTTTAAAAGAAAATAATAATAAATGACTGAAATTGGGTTGAAAAATAAGGGGGGCGTTGCAAAGAGTGTTGCTTTGAATTCACCTCTGCCCACGGGAAACGTATGCTTCGGTTGACCCCCTGGGTTTGACTGCAATTTTGCGTTTGCGTTTTTTTTTTGGGTGAAACTTTTCGGTTCACGGAAACACAATTTGGCTTGATTTATTTATAAATTTTGATCAATGGTTTAGTTAACTTAAAAGTTATGAAAAACTATATTAAAAAGCACTTTTCTGTTATATAGTTATATTGATTTTATAGCTATTAACCAGTAAAAAAAGATTTTATAGCTATTAATATTATAATTTGGAAGAAAACAGGCAACTTAACTTGTTAGATTTTTTATGAATTAGACTTGACACGAGTGCTCATATTTACGATTTGTTATTATTCTTTCAATGACCCCTATGCTCGTATTTACGTCTCAGTGTCATGCAATGAGATGTATATGGTGAGTTAACGATGTGTGTGCGCGTGTTCATACGAATATTGTACGCGCATGTATGTGAATACTTAAAAAAAATTAAATCCTAGCTGTGAAACCTGGATATAAACATGTCCAGGTTTGTAGCTAGGATTTTTTTTTGACAGAGTAGTATATATATGTATCTAAGAAAATATTTTATGATAGATTAATGATTAAAGTTTAATCATTAATAGTTTTTAGACTAAACTATGAGTACGTGTTATAAAAAATCACATGGCAGGAGCAGTAAACTAGTGATACAAGGCCTATCTGAAGGTGATATCTCATCCTATGTCGTGATCCCTCTACATCTCTTTCACTATCTACTTTTGATGTAAGCTGCAACCTTTGACTTATGAGCCACTTCAGTATACGGCAGAAATTTAGGCCTCTTATGATACGTATGGATTTTTCATTTCTTATTAGTGATTTTTTTTATCTTTTTCCTTACAAAATTTTATATGATCTTTATATGAAACAACAACAATTGTTGTCGTAAACAAATGCGCACGCAGCCTGTATTATTAGTCATGCATGTGCTACATCCTTTGTCTCAAAATAAGTTTGCATTTATATATGGATTTAAAGATGGAGGGCGCAAGTGATATGGCTAATATTATACGGTTAGAATACATTTTTTTTTGTTAAAAACAATTGGAATACACAGACTACACAATATAAGTTCATAGGTTTTTCCTCCTTTTTTTGAAAAGCAATACTTGTGCGGTTGGCAGTTGAACACACAGTTTATAGTAGTAGTTGCTTGGAATTTATTGTCTTGATACTCCTATTTGAGAAGTGTGTCTTCAGGTTCAGACCAAAAGCTTATAGTCAAAAAGATACGAGTAGTATTCCCTACACACAAATTTTGGAGCTACTCCATCCGTCCTAAAATATACTTCATCCGTTTCATAATATAAGACTTTCTAGCATTATCTATATTTATTTAGGTGTTAATGAATCTAGACATATATATGCGTTTAGATTCATTAACATCTATATGTATGTGGGCAATGCTAAAAAGTCTTACATTGTGAAACGGAGGGAGTAAGTATTTTTAGTTATGAATCTGGATAACTGTGTGTCCATCATAGCTAAAAATTGCTATATTTTAGGACAGAGGTAGGTGGACAGAAGCAAAGACTTAAATTTGATAGCAGCAGCAGCCAGGTTAGTTGAGTCAAACCAACAAACTAATCAGCTACTGTTCTAAAAGACTAGAAGAACAAAAGAGAATTATCTCAACATACTCCCAAACCAAAATCGTTGGACAATCCTAGTGTACGGCTCTGCAAAAAAAAAAAATACAAAGCAGGTGGCTGCGAGAGAAGAGGCCGGTTTCAAGGAATTTGACCTGGACTCCCCTCGTTCTGGACTCGGAATAGCCATTAGCCAATAGCAGCCGGGTTTGGATTAGATATTTTAGGTGGATAAGGGTTTCATGGCACCTCACTCTGACGTGAGAAAACACTGCCTTTTGCATTGTCATGCTATCAACATCCTACTAACAAATAGTAAGAGAATAAAAATTTAAGATAGGAGAGCGTGCATGGCATTGTTATTAGTATTATTTAAAGTAGATGCAGTGTTTGAGCTCTCGATTTTCAGTTTTAGATTTCTGTTGTCTTTTGTAACTTACGTCCCTTTTGGTCTTTTGGGTCTTATGCAGTGGCGGAGGCAAGATTTTCATGAAGCCGGGGTAATTCTAATTAAAACTGTTACCCACATATTACGGTTAAAAAAAGTAAAACTATTTTATTGAAAACAATGGACTATTAGGGCCTGTTTGGTATAGCTCTAACTCCTAAATTTAGCTCCAAGAGTTGGGTCTGGAGTGGAGTTGTGGAGCTGCCTAAACCCAGCTCCACAACTCTAGTTCATTTTGTGAGAGAGCTCCACCCAGCTCCACTCCCAGTTTTGGTGGAGCTGAAACTGTTTGGCTGAGCTCCAGCTCCAGGAGGGGTAGAGCTGGAGCTGGAGCTGTGCCAAACAGACCCTTAGTAGGCGCGATCTCCTGCATGCATTGATGCTTAGGTGTTTTAATTCACATAACTAATTATTGTGGCCTCAAGTACATGCACAAACAGACTCAACCAAACGGGCATGCATGGAACAGGAAAAATCAGGCACCATCTTGTTATTTGCGTTCTAAAGTATGAAATCCATATACTCTATGAAGTGCCTATATTACACTTTATCAGGGTTACAGATAAGACATACCCTATATCCTACGACTTATGAAATATACCGATAAGGTATACCTTCACGTATACGGCTTATTTCCGTATACGCTGTTGGAAATTTATCTCAAGTTATGAAAAATATCTCTATGAGTTAATGAATAGCCGGAATCCTACTCGGAGGGGATAAAATCTTGGGATAAAATCTTTGGTTATACCGTGCCAGTTTACATATCTCTAAGTCTTTCTTGGGGTCAAGGTATTCCACGGTATAAAAAGGACCCCTAGGGAGAGGCAAAGCGCATCGCATCTCATCGCCAACACATCCACCAAAGTTTACGAAGCCGGAGTCCACAAAGCCAACTCGCCGGGAGATCTCGTCGAGATCTTCAACTACGATCTCGTCAGTATCGCCTGTTTCGGTTACTCTCTTTGTAATCTGTTCTCATCATCATCAATCCCATATAAACTGGACTAGGGCTATTACCTAATAAGAGGCCTGAACCAGTATAATCCTTGTCTTTTGTCTGTTTTGATGTCGTACTACGTAGACCCCTGTTCCAACGTACCACGATACTCTATTCATCCGGTCCGCGAGTATCACTCGTCGACACACTTTGACCGGGAAGATAGCAAATTGTTGCACAAAAGTCACTCTATCTCAATGGGTCGTGGATGGGGAGCCTAGGCAACTGCCCGCCCTAGTCGGGCGGTAAATCCGCCGCTGGTCTTATGCCTTGAACCACTAAGAGCTAAGCTTAAGGATAAAGGTTGTGTACTTTAAATTTTCATTTTTATTACCAATCACAAGAATTGTGAATATAGATTACGGTAGGTTATTGCCATGTTCGGCAATGGTGGGCTATTCATCTGCCACGCGTACGCCACGTAGGATAATACCGCTTTGGATTAGGTCAAGAGGGCTATTCGTCCGGTATAGACAGTTCAGGGTATAAAATATCTGGTTTTGTGGTTAGGGGGGTAATTTATACTATTGTCATAGTTCGAGAGGTAATTCGTACTTTTTTCCTTCACAATATAAGCGCGAAAAACACTACTACAGGATAGATTTTCCTGGACGCCCCTCTTTTTTGTTTCCATGCGGTTCGTAAGTGGAACCGCATGGAAAAAAAGTGGACAGGCTCCAGGATGTCGCCCGCACGGGATAACACATTATCCCGTGCGGGCGGGTTAAGCCAACCGCACACCCGCGTGGTCCACCGCATTTAACCTGGCCGCCCACCTCCCTCTGCCTGCTCTCCCTCGATCTCTCCCACTCCACTCCTCCCTCCCACTCTCCTCTCCTCTCCTCTCTCTCTCTCTCCCTCAGTGCACAGCGCGCCCCTCCCTCTCTCCCTTAGTGCATGACGGCGGGCGAAGAGGGCGGCGGATCCGGCGGCACCCGCCCCATCCCCTCCTTCCCCTTGCAGAACCGGGGGAGGCGGCGGCGGATCCGGCTGTGCGCGGCGGCGAGCGAAGGGGGCGGCGGCGGATCCGGCGGCGGCGATGCACAGCGGCAGCGGCGGCGTGCGCCCCCTCCCCTCCCTCCCCGTGCAGATACGGCGGAGGGAAGGCTTGGGGGGGGGGGCGGATCCGGCCGCGTGCGGCGGAGGGCGAAAGGGGTGGTGGCGGGCGAGAGGCGTGGCGGCAGGCAAAGGGGACGGCGACGGATCCGGCGGCGCCCGCCCCCTCTCCTTCTTCCCCTTGTAGATCCGGGGGAGGGGGCGGCGGATCCGGCCGGCGAAGCGCGGCTCTCCTCTCCCTTGCAGATCCGGTGGAGGGGAGGGGGAGGACCGGCGGAGCAGCGGCATACGTCGGCGACCGGCAACCGGATCTATCTCTCCCTCCTCTCTTTGTTATTTGTGATTTGTTCATGTGAGATGTGTTCTTGTTGATATGAGATGTGTTGATGTGTGTTCTTGTGAGATGTGAGATGTGTTCTTCTGAGATGGTTCATTTGCGCCGGCGACGGGAGCGAGCGGCGGATTCGTAGCCGGCGACCACGAGGGCGACGACGGCGGGCCTCGGCTAGGCAGCGGCGGACTAGGGTTAGGGTTAGGGTTTCTTTTTTCTTTTTTTTTCTCCGTGCGAGCGCCCGTACGCAAAGATTGGTTTTCGCTTGCGGGTGCGCCACCCGCACGCGAAAATCGCGATTTTTCCAGACGACTGGGTGCGTGCGGGCCGCCCACCCGCACGCGAAAATTGGATAGCCCGCCCGGAAAAATCGGTGTCGTAGCAGTGAAAGAAGCACAGAGGTCAGCAGCGAAAGA